GAGAGTTTGGGGCAGAATAGGTAAATTTCAGAGTCATCAGCATAGAGATGGTAATTAAATTGATGGGAGCTTGACGAGATCACAGCATAGGGGAAGAAAAGACTGAAAATACCAAAGATTTCAGGAAGAAGAAAATTCAAATACCTTGAACATAAACATAACTCAACAGGAAAAACAGTAATAACAGAAGGAAATACAGCCTCCAGATCTAGTAAATGAGTTCAGTTATCTATGAATAAATACTGCAAAATAAAGGAAAATGTTCCATCACTTGATGAGACAGAGGGCTCTGTGGAATTGGAGGAGAACATGGAATTACAACATGCTGTTCCTGAGTGGTTTAAAAGAGAAATGAGAATTAGAACAAAATTTGTCCTACACAGCAAAAATAATGAACAAAATAGAAAAACTGAAATCTGCAATGGCAAGCTTCACCAAAGAACCAAAAGAAAGAACAATAGACTGGAATGCAAACACACAGAAGTGAAGGACAACCTGGGAAAAGAAAAAAAAAAATGACACTTAAAGAAAATGGGTTCATTAAGGCAAGCAAAACACACTGAACTCAAAAGGCAGAATGTAAAGAGGATGACAAGTCTCCCAGAAGAACATTAACAGGACAAAAAAACTTAATGAAAGATATTATAAAAGAGAACCTAGAACTTCTAAACATAGAAAATGAAATTCCAATTGAAAGAATTCAAAGATCTACTCCAGAAAAAAAACAAAACAAAAAACAACACCCAAGGCTGCCAGCTCCAAGACACATAGTGGTTAAATTTAACAGTTCAATTCAGAAACAAGAAGTTCATCAGGAGAAAGTTCCTAAGTTCAACAATAAGTCATCAGGAGAAAGACCTTCAAATTCAAAGGAAAGGACATCTGAATAACAAAACCCGCTAGAAAAAGGAGGGAAAGGAATAATGTGTTTCAAAGTGCAATGGAATTCAGGATGCACGCAGCCCAGGGGGACCTATCTGAATATCTGAGCTTAACAATATAGAAAAAAGATGCATGTTCAAAAATAAAGACTTTGAAACATTTTTAGGAAAAAAAAAAAACTGGAGCAATTATCTGCTTCTCGATCACCCCAAAGAGAAATGGAGGAAAAGTGAATAAATGCAAGAGGGACAACAAAAATGACCAGTAAGAGACTTCTTTCTAAATGTACGCAAGGAGACAGAAGTAAAGGTGGGAATGTGGTAGAGGCAAAGGGAAGAGGCAGAGGGTATTAGGGATAGAACCTGGAGATACCCTCTCTACAGATGAATGCTTCCTTTGTGGGACTACATTACAACATAGGAGGGTACATAAAAGGGGGGGAAGGGAGCCGGGGAACAGAGAGGACTGAGTGTGTGTGATGAATACAGAGAAGCATGGAAAGATCTGTATGAACTGATGCAGAGTGAAAAAAGCAGAGCCAAGAAAACAATATACACAAGTAACTACAACAATGTAAATGGAAAGAATGACACAACAAAAATTCAAAAAACAAATAGAATTATGAAGATCAAGTGAAAAGAAATGAGAAAATACCCCCCCCAGCCTATCCCTTTGTGGAGGTGGGAGGCCCACAGGTGTTACACATTGTACATGTTTTCAGACTATCAATTGTGCTGACTCCCCCCACCCCCATCCACAGAATACTATGGGATACTATCGTGATTTAAGAAACAAACAAACAAAAAATCAATAAAAACATTTTTTTTAAAAGCAGAGAATTAAAGTTCTAAACTAAGGCCAAAATAAGGTGGGAAACAGTAAATAGTTGTTTGATTTACCAAACACGTATCTTGCCCTAAAGTGGAGCCCTAGGGAGTACTACTGTGTAGAGCAGGAGTTGGAATTAAGCATTTTTTTTTAAAGCAGAGATTAAAATGCATGCTTGTCTAGATCTTTGAATGCTGGGATGAATACCCATCCCTCTTACACATGATAATTTACTAACATTAATGTTCACATAAAGCCCATTTTTACAAAAGTCTACGATTAGTAAATTTCCACAACACACAAGTAAACAAAAAATTAACAATATTCATTATTAAATAAAGGTATTTATTCAACAGCAAATTTATTACCAAGGAGCAAAGAAACTAATGCCTTGTGATTTGGCTATTTTTAACCAACATCGGGTTAAAAAATAGCATAATGAAAAAGGTGTAACTTAAATACTACAGAATTATACTTTTAATGAGATCTTGCCTTATTAGGAAGGATAATGATTTTGTTACATTAGAAAGATGATGAAAGATACAAAGATGTTGTTATTTCAGATTTTACAATCCATATGCCATTTTTTTATTTTTATGGCTGTTTACATTTTACCCAAAAAGTTTCAAAATATGATTTATTACATGCATTAACACTTAAAAGTTCAAAATACATGTTTCATGACTAAAAAAAGTTCACCTGAGAATTTATAATATTGCCATGTTTTCTTTCAAATTGTTAATATAACTCAGAATCTACATGCAACTTTTATTCTTACTGCATTAAATATATTTCTAATTACTAAAATGTGAATGATTAAACATTAATCTTCAACAAATGTTTTTAAAAATAAAAAAATACTTAGCACAGAAGTGATATTCACATTAGTTCTGAGTAGCACATAATTTGCCATTAGTATTAAAATTATTTTTAAAAGTCTGAAAAATAATGTAATGCAATTAAGACTGTATTAAATGTAATTATTTTCAGAAGATTACATAAGACATGAAACACTAAGCAAAGGACAAAAGGCTAAGACAAATGATTTTGCATATCATGTACAATGAAGAAGCATTGTAGCAAACTGTGAAGAACTGCAAATGGTGGTCAAGGTATCCATAGTATTATACTGTCATTCTGTTGCGGGCATAATCTATGCAATATACAGAATAAAAACCTCCCCACCTTATAAAGGGGAAAAGCAAAAACGTTTAAAAATTCTTTAAAATATTCTCTGCACATCTGCTTTATAACTTGACAATCACTTGCATATGAGGTAGTGTAGTTATTTGTATTTGTATTACATGCTGGTTATAAGGAATAATATTCAGTATCAAGAAATAAACATTTTAATTATTGGTTAAACCTTAAAAAAAGATTTCTCAGGCTAGTTTAGTTACATATTTGAATATGTAGATTTAAAACCCAGTGTCGTGAAAATTATTTTTAAACTCTGGAGACAATGAGGCATCGTCCTAAAATACTGAATAACCTGCCAATACTTATAGTAGTAATAAGAGCAGATTATTTGACATTTTTGCATATACACATGCTGATTATGAAAAAACATTTATGTGTATAATGAGGTAGGGAATCAAAGATTCTAGTCATTGGCTTATACAAGAGTTGACATTTTGCAAATCAGAAAAAAGTTTGCACTCAACTGTGTGAAGCTGAAAAATCAAGAAAGAAATAAAAAGAAATAGCAATATTAGATCATTTATACACAATTCTGTTTTAATCTATTACATGTGATTTACAATTATAAAAATGCTATTTTTCCAAACCACTTTGAATGTTTCTTCAAGCATATAGAAAATAAACCAAAACCTAATTTATTTCCTTGCTACATCTATAATTTATAAACAATTAAAATACTAGAGAATTTTCCCACATCAAAAAGGGGGAGAAAATTACAATTTAAAAAATTTCTAAATTTTAAGATTGGTCCCAATATAAGATATAGCAAGTGTATTTTTAGGGTCATTCATTACACTATGAGTTTATTTCTCAGAACCACTAAATATTTTTCATGATAAGTCAGTCTAATGACTTAAGATAAATCCAGCGATGGAACCAGCCACTCCACGGACCAACTCCATTTTGAGTAGCTTTTCAATGCAATGTTCTTAGTAACAAAGCCTTTACCAAAGAATTAAAAACCATTTTACACACCAAATTAAAATATAGAACTTTACAAAAACATTCAGGTGAAGGTGTCTGCTTGTGCCTTTGTACTATGCAAGTGGATATAACTCTATTCAGAAAATGTAATTAAGCTTCCATACTACTCAAATTTTTAGTGCTGCTTTATTGATTAGTGCTTTTCAACAAGTATGTCCCAACATATGCCACAAAAGCATGTTGCTTAATAAATACTTGTCGACTAACACAAGTCTAGTGAATTCTTGCAAAGTCCCTTCCCCCTTTTTTCTCTTTAACAGTGAAAATGAAAACTTTTAAAAATTTTAATTCAGGTGAAAACTTTAAACCTCAAACTTTAAAATGTAATTCAGTAGTGGTGTCATGTAACACGCCCCAAAAGACTCCTAAGTTGGTTGTTAATAAACTAAACATGTACTTGATTATTCAGCTCTTCTATATTAGCAGAAATCTGCTTAACAGAATTTCATACTTAATTCATAGGAAATTATTTCCTAACTTCCTGAATTTGGGAGGCCTATACCCCCATCTATGAAGTTTTCCCTAAAATAGGTATTTGCCTATTTAATGATAGCAGGGGGAAAATTTTTTTTTAAATCTTAAATTTAAAAAGAATATGTAGGACTTACAAATTTAGAAGCGTTTCACCTTACTCTCTCTCCACATATTCTTTGCTTTAGCGGCACTGGCCTCCTTCCTATTTTGTTCCTCATACAAGATACTCTTATCTCCCATTATCTCTGGATTTTCACTGGCTATCTCATGTTTGGAATTACCTTCTGTTTCATCTCTTCCTCTTGGTTTCCTTAGATTAGTCTCAGCTAAAATCCTACTTTCTACAGGAGGCCTTTCCCACTACCCCTCAAGGCTAGTGTGCCCTCCCAGACTATCCAAAATTTATCCTATATATATCTTATTTGTACATAGTTGTTTGCATGTCGTCTTCTCAGTAGGTTGTAAATCCCTTGAGGGCATGAACCGACTTTCCCCTTCCTTGCATCTCCAGCACTTAATACAGTGTCTGGAACACAGTAGGAATTTAATAAATGTTTGCTGATGACTTGAAATTTGATTGTTTTTATGTTTTTAAAACTTTAAGGATCACTAGCAGCCAAAAAAAAAAAAAAAAAAAGGTGCCAGACTTTCTCAAACTGTTCCAGACTTTCATTCTAAGTTTTACTTTAAATATAGGACAGTATTAACATTAACAAGTTAAAACCACTATCTTCTTAGACAATTTTTAAAAGATCTGCCATATTCTCAAATGTAATTATTACATTCAATTCAAAATGCTTTCTAACAGAAGTTATCTCTGGTTTCCTAGTGGGAGTCACGGGGATGATACTATCAACTTAACAGAAACATGCTTAACAGCAAACTCAACAGAAACTGGAAACCTATATTAGAAATATGGAACCTATATTAGAGTTTCATGTTAATACAAAAAACTTAATTATAAAAGTAAATGGTAGGAAGGAAATAAAATATAGTTTTAATCATCAGCAGTACATTTACCAGTGATCGGACAGAAATCTGTGATGCCACCACTCTGACAACACTGTCCTACGAGCAACGATGAAGTTCGTGGGGAGTTCTGACATGAATCTTGGTGTTGTTCCTGAATTGAATCATTTGCTTCTCTTACACATGGATAAGGAGAACTTTGTTCTCTGGCCAGTGGAATATTTGGAAGCCCGTGAGGTAAACCCATACATGATGGTGGCACAAGTTCAGAGTCAGGAGTAAGTTTTCCTTTTTCAGAAACTAACAATGTAAGTGGGCAATCTGAGGCAGAATACTTTGCAAGTATCTGGATTTGTTCATGACTTAAAGCCGCTTCTTTGCACACCTGCTGGCAAAGTCCAGTTAAGTTCTGCTTTGTTTCACCCAGTGTTGATAAAATATGGTCTCTTTCCTTTAATAAACTCTCCTTCTCCTTTTGCTGTAGAGAAAAGAAAAAAAAATCCATAGCATTTTCTGGTTTAGTAACACAGAAACCAACACTCGTTAGAAACATTAAATAGCACAAACATCTCATTTAAATAGTGAGGAATGACCTAAATCTCACATGTCCAGCGAGGCTCTCTGACTGAATCCAAACTTCACAGAAAAAATCCCCTTAATAAGAATTTGTTCAGTAAAACTTGGACTCAGTCAAAAGGCCGCACCCAAGGACCTAGAAGGCCACGTGGGGCCTCGGGGCTGCAGGTTTCCCACCCGTCTAGAATCTCCAAATAACTGACAGCTACCCTTCCAAACACCAAAAACTCTGAAACTGATTTTGAGAGAATTTGTTCTAAAAGGGACTACTTCCTTTCCTGACTTTCTGTGGGCTGGAAAATCAAATACACACTGTTCTAACAGGTTGGCTAAAATAAGAAAAATCACCTTGGAGAAAGCTCAGGAGATTTCTCTTATGAGTCTTTAAAGACTTATATGGCCACTGAAAACATTTTATTGTGCATGTAATGTGTCTGTGTTTATTTTTTAGTTCTTGGCAGTCCTCTGAGGTTAGGTTGCTAAATAAGTGAATGTTGGATCAATTATGTAAAGATGAGAATTGCCTAACTTAAAACAAACTTTTTTTATTATTGATGTCTTCTGTTTCCGACATCATCATAGGAGCAAGAAACACCATAACAACTGCCAATGGAGGCACAAAGGGGGAAAAATGGATTTTCCACAAGGACTACATAACTACCTAGAAGAAATGACACATGGGGAGATGGGGTGGGGTGACATGAAATACAATCACTGTAGAAAAAAAGAAGACAGCAAATAGCTTAGAAAACTAAGTGGTAAGCTTTACCCAATAAATGGACTCTCGAATAGACCAAATAGAAAGCAATAACTCTATAAGATAATAAGAATTACAGAACAAAATCATAAGATTGAGAAAAAAAGAATAAGATTGTAAGATAGTTTAAAAAAACTACTGCAGAAAAACATTTTAGAGATAATTTAAGAATCACTGGACTTCCAGAAAAACATTATTGGACACACCTCGAGAAATCACTAATGAAAACTGCCTAGATCTATTAGAACCAGAGGGCAAAGTAAAGAAAGAAATGATCCACCAATCACTTCCTAAAAGGAACCCCAAAACAAAAAATGTCATAGGAATGTCATAGGAATGTCATGGCCATAATCCAGAGTTCCTATGAGCACAGCAGAGAGTGAACAGGCTGCCTAAGGAGGACTGAATCAGACCATGTCAAAAAATAGAGCATGTTAAAGTTTCTGTATTTTTTTTAAATGAATTTATTTTTATACAAGTAACTGCCAATAGGAAACCAGAGCGAGGACCCACAATAGTTCAGGATCACCCTTTCTGCTACCTCAGCTGGACCCTCCTTCCCTTGACCCTCTAAACTTGAAGACTGCCAAAGGAGGAGCTGTGACAGAAGCTGGGGGTGGTGGTGGTAATATATGTTAGTAGGGGGAGAGCAGCTCCCCTGGGTCCCACTTCCCCATCAATGTCACCTTTTAATAAACTAGGTATGGTATCCACCATCTCTTCCCACTCCAAGCCCTTCTTATAAAGATTTGGGAAGGATGAACAGATTGGATGGGAGTGATGTAAAGGGCAGGTGAACAGGACAACCCCAAAAACCTGCATGGCTAGGTGTCTGGCTGCCACAGAATATAAGATAAAAACTGTTTAAAAAACAAAACCAACAAAATGTATTTAAAGGTAGAATGTGAACAGGGGGAAGCTGAAACTGATCCTAGGGGTAGGGGATAATATTCTGAAATGAAGGATAATGGGGGCTGGGGAGGAAATATTCTTGCAAAATATGCATTCCAAAGGCAAACACCACAAGCCAAGGAAGGCCAGCCCAAGCCAGGGATTTTAATAGAATTACCAACCTCCTTCTCCCCCGCTACCCCTTTTTCTCCCTAGATCTCTTGAGCAGCAAGGTGGTGGTACAGGATATACTGGTATAGAAGCTGAACTGAAGCTGAGCTCTTAGCATCAGAACACACTTGTACATCCATTCTTTCCTCTCAAACCCTTCTGAGTTACGGTTTAGGGGGAAGACATGGTGAGCAGGAACCTTGGTCCCATTCTAGGGGGCACAGACAAAGAAACAGGCACTGGCAACTAAACCAGGTTAGTCCGGTCCAGGGGAGGAGGAATACAAAAGAAATTCCAATCCTGGAAAAAGGGAGGGTAGGGTGGGTGGGTCTATGAATGGATGCAGTGGGATGACTACTCTATCCTGGCTTGCCTTGTGCCTCTCTGACCACCTAGCTCATTATGCATATCATACCCTCTAACTGTGGCTACTTCCCAAGGTTCTGCCCTACTCTTTCTTTTCTCTACCCCATCTATTCTCTTTTGGTAACCTCATCAATTCCCATGGGTTTAACTATCTTTGAGGCAAATGACTTCCAGAACTATATTTCTAGCCTCAGTTTGTTCCTTGAGCTTCAATCCCACATCATTTGTCTACTGGACATTTCTAACAATGTCCCAGAGTCATCTTAAACTCAACGTGGCCAAAACTGAACTTCTTATCTTTTACCCCAAACTCTCCCCTCTTCCAAACTTCCTATTTGCGTCAAAGGTAGCATCATCCTTACAGCCTCCCAAGTTTGTTACCTCAGCATTACCCTTGAATAATGGATAGTTCCACTCTCTGTACTTAAATTCCAAACACCTAGAACAGGGCCTGACAGATAGCTGATGATTGGTTGATTATCTGATCAAATCTCCAGGGACTATGATCTAAATATATTTTTGCCTTCCACCTCTGTGGGTAGCTCAAGTTAGGCACTTTCTCTTATGTGAGTTAAAATGTACCAAATAGAAACCCACTGTTAGAAACTAAAAGTTTCATTAGCAAGGTTGGTTTTTCTACAAAAATATCCAAGTCCTCAAAAACAACTGCAAGAAATGGCCAAAAAAAAAAAGGCTATTATGGAAAATGGATGAGTTATGTTGTAACTGCCCCAGAGAGGTAAGAACTAGGAATAACATTAAGTAACAGAAATGAAAAATAAGCTTAATGTTAGGAAAAATGTCCATGAAAAGTTAGTGTTATTCCAAAAGTAGAATGGGATTCCTTTATTAGAGATCTAGAAGCAAAGGCTAGGTGTCTATTTCTTGAGTTTCTTGTAGAAAGGATTTTTATTCAGGTATAGGTTGGGTCACATTGGTCTTTTAGGTCCCTTGCAATTCAGATTCTATGATTCTGCCTAACCTCATTCTTTGATATGTATCTGGCCTAGCTGCTTCTACTACTGTAAGAGCTGACTTAATTGCTAATGTTAGAATTGGCATACTAACTTGGACTGATAGTATCCTTAGGTCCTCAAAATTAAAGCAAACAGGTTATTCTCAGAGCTAATAGTAGCATCAGATAAAAGAAGGCAAGTCAATAAGCATTTTTTTTTTTTAGGCAATTGGGATTAAGTGACTTGCCCAGGGTCACACAGCTAGTGTTAAATGTTTGGTCTGAGTCCAGATGTGAACTCAGCTCCTCCTGACTTCAGGGCCAGGGCTCTATCCACTGTGCCACCTAGCTGCACCCCCAATAAGCATTTCTTAAAGTGCCTAATCTGTACCAGGCATTGTGCTAGATGCTAATTTAGTAACAATGCATTCTAAAATGCATTCTAAAAATATTTCACTAATACACACAAAAGATAGAGATAGAACAGTTTACCTATAAATGATAAACACAATAAATTTATGGGATTTAGGAAAGGACCATAAATTGCAATGACTCTAACTCCCTCATTTTAAAGATTAGGTAACTGAAGCAGAGTAGCTAAATGGACTTGTTCAAAGTTTCTGAAATAAGAAGTATTTGAGGCAAAATTTAAACTAGGTCTTCTTGTCTCCAAGTCTAACAACTTATATACACTATACTGCACTGCTCAAACAACAAATGAAGAGTGAAAGGATAAGAAAATTATAGTTACCTATTTTTCTTTTAAAGTCTCACTCAGAGGAGGCAATTTAAAGAGAAATTACACTAAAATAAAACTGGACACAAGAATAAAGGAAAAATTAATGAAAAAGCATTTCCTATGTGCCAAGCATTGCACAAAGTGCTAAGGATAAAAAAAAGAAACAAAGACAGAGAGAGATACCAAGAGAAAAGACAGGTCTTGACCTCAATTCTATAGGGAAGGTAGTCATGAGCCAGAGCTATGATCAGTGGTAGGGGAGCAGAAAGACTAAACTAACATGATAAATTAACACATGAAATAAATTGTCATTGCAAGTTATTAATCCTATGAGTAAATTCTCATCTAGAAAAGGTGGCAACATGATTTTTTACTCCATGACTCCTAAAGGAAGATACCTAAATAAGAAGAGAAGTAGCCAAAGGAAAATGCTAAGGAGGTTTTCCCTATTCCCATAAAGTCATACTCAACTATGAATTCTATCAGTTAAGCCTGATTTTTATGCCACTATTGCATTAAATATCAATTTAGTAAAATTTCAAGTGCTTCCCATTTGGCCTTATTAAAAAAAAAGTTTTCTAGTAAATAAATCACTAAATCTTTTATATGATCTACATACAAATTAGAAATTCCTACTTTCGCTGAACAAATTATTAATATTTGAGAACCAATTTTAATATAAATCATACAACCATTTTTATCCTTTACTTCATAATAAAAAGTCTATTCCACTATATCCTTCAACTACTTCAACTACTTATGTAGTATATCCATTCTGTACCCACACTACAATGAAGAAGTCTATCATGTGAATGCTACAGTAAAAAATGACAAAAAAAATATCAAAGCTTTCTATAGAGAAATGAGAAAAATATTCTAAATCACTCCTGATTAGAGAAATGCAAATTAAAAACAGCCTCACACCTATCAGATTGGCTAATATGACAGAAAAAGAAAATTATAAATGTTGGAGGGGATATATAGGAAAATTGGGACATGAATACACGGCTGGTGACGCTGTAAAGTGATCCAACAATTCTGGAGAGAAATTTGGGACTATGCCCAAAGGGCTATAAAACTGTGCCTCCTCTTTGACCCAGCAATACTCCTACTAGGCCTGTATTACAAAGAGATTTATTAAAAAGAAAAAGAAAAAGAAAAGGACCTATATGTACAAAAATAGCAGCTCTTGGTGCCAAAGAACTGGAAATTGAGGGGATAGCCATCAATTTGGGAATGGCTGAATGTTTTGTGCTATATGATGTAATGGAATACTATTGTGCTATAAGAAATGATGAGCAGGATGCTTTTAGAAAAACCAGGAAAGACTTACATTAACTGATGAAAAGTGAAAGTGAGCAGAACCAGGAGAACACGGTAATGACAATACTACACAGTATTCAACTATGAATGATTTAGCTATTCTCAGCAAGACAAAAAAACAAGACAATTCTGAAGGACTTACGATGAAAAATACTACCCACCTCCAGAGGAAGAACCGATGCAATCTGAATGAAGACTGAAGCATACTGTTTCTTTACTTTTTATATTTTTTTGGGGGGTGGGTTTGGCTGGGTTTTCTTTTACAAAATAATACGGAAAAGTTTTGCATGACTGTACGTGCATAACCTTTATTAAATTGCTTGCCTTCTCAATGAGGAATGATAGAAGGGTGAAAGAGAATTTATAACTCAAAATTGTAAAAACAAAATTAAGAATAAAAATTGTTTTTACATGTAACTGAAAAAAATGAAATATTTTTATAAGTTTTCTCATTCTTTTAAAATTTTTGTTACAAATGACAGATTGCTCAGTAAGAGAAGGATGTGTTTGTAAATGAAAGGTAAAAATAAAATTAAAAATACACAAGCTGCATGACCCTAGGCAAGTCATTTAACCTCAGTGCCCCAGGAAACTCTTAAGAATAAAAGTTGCAGACTAGGAGTCAAACTGCATTGGCAAAGGGACTTTCTCATCAAGAGATATCTACAGAGATGAAATCACAAGCCCGGTCAAAAACAACTAAATAAACCATGAAAAGATTGTAAGGAGACTGAAGTGATGCCAGATTAAGACAGAAGACCAGAACAGCTCTGATTAGCAAGAATAAGTCTGAGAGAAAAATAAAATAGATCACAATCCTACGGGAGGATTTCAGAGATGAGGCTCAAGGAAGTGTTAAATCTTTCTGGGTGCTGGATATATCCAACTAACAGTGTTGAAGTGAAACGAGATGAGGAGCAAGTTGAAATGGCAGCCCACCACCCTTGTGGCCAAAATGCTTCTGCATATTCATGTTGCGTTTTCTCAATAAGCCAGGGAAAGGATTCAATTGACCCAGCTGAATTAGCCCACTACAGGTAAAAGAAGGTTGATGGGGTAAAATTAAGGTATCTCAAGTCTACCACTTCTTGACTGTTGCTAATGGTCCAAGGAAAGTCAGCAAAAATTTGTCCTTCTTTAAGATGATAAAAGACCTTCTTTAATTCTTGTCCTGGGTTCTCCTCTCTTTTATCTCTATACTGTCTCACTCGAGGATTTCATTAGTCTTGTGGCTTCAATTGTCATTTTTATGAAGATGATTCCCAGCACTAAACTCTCTTGAACTTCAGTCACCATTTCTGACTGCCTCTTGGACAGTTCAAACTGATGTCCCAAAGACATGTTAAATTCAACATGTTCACTCCTAGTGTAGGTGAGGGCACCATCATCCTCCCAGTCACACAAGCCGCCAACCTTGGTGTCATCTTCAACTCCAGTCACCCCACATACTGAATCCATTGAAAAATCTTGTGGTTCCTACCTTCATAAAAACTCTCATATAATTCCCTTCTCTACACTTACACAACAACAAATTTAGTCGAGGCGTCCATTAGCTGCCGCTCAGAAAACTCCATAGCCTTCTTACTGGTCTCTGTGCCTTAAGCCTTTCCACAGTCTAATCAATCCCCTACACAGCTGCCAAAGAGATTTTTCTAACACGTACATCTGTCCATGTCACTTTAATGCTCCAGTGACTTCCTACTGCCACTAGGAATACAAACTGCATTTGAAGCTCTTTAACATTCTGGCCCCCACTTACCTTTCCGGTCTTCTTATAGCTTATATTTTTAATTCAAGAAATTTTCAAAAGATGTACTAAATTTTATTTTAGAGCTATAGGTCTGGAATAAGGAAGATCTAAGTTCAAATCCAGGCTGAGATACTTCCTAGCTGTGATTCTGAGCACCATATGCCTCAGTTTCTTCAACTGTAATATGGAGATAATAATAGCATCTACTTCAGAGCTGTTGTGAGGATCAAATGAGATAATATTTGTAAAGCACTTAACATAGTGCCTGATACATAGTAGGATCTAAATAAATGCTTGTTCCCTTCCCTTCCCTTTTTAAAAAGCCAGGAATATTTATACTTTGTAAAATAGAAAACTGGAGTTATTTACATCTGGCTTAGAAATCAAGACAGTATTTCAAAGAAAATATCTGAATTAGTTTAAGACAGGAAATAATATTTACTTACCAACTTCTCAATTTCTAACTCAAGATTCTGTATGCAGTCAAGTTTTCTTTTTCGACAACGCTGTGCAGCAATTCTATTTTTACTCCGTCTTCGAATATCATGTATACAATCCAGCTGTTCTGGAGTCAACTTATGCATTTTCAGCATGGATTGAAAATCATTTCGAGAAAGTGAAATGATTCTTTGTGCATTGAATGGCAGTTTAACCTAAACCAGACAGAATTAACAGGGATTTACTTTTAAAAAATAGAATATACTGGGAATGAAATTAGATATTAGAAATAAAAATTCAGATTTTTCAAAAACAATCTTCATTTAGTCCAATGATAGAACTAATATTGAACAATGGATCCAGTTTCTCTATTCTTTCCAATAACAGAGACCAAGAGTTTTGGCCAAAGTTCTAATCTATTTTAGAGAAGACTGCATATACTGCATAGACTCAGTTGATGTGTTCATTAGTTTTGCTGAACTGTTTGTTTTCCTCTTTATAAAATTCTTTGTTCCAAGAATGGTTTTCTGAGTTCGGGAGAGGGGGAAAGAAATCCTCCCCCATTCAATCTACAAATGAAAGTGGCAGGGGTGGAGTCAAGATGTCAGAGTAGCAGGAAGAAGTACAGCCTAACTGCCCCACCAAACCTCATCCACGAAGTCCTAGAAAATACACCAAGATAAATTCTGATTGAGAAATTCAAGAAAAAGTTGCAGTGAGTCATTTTGCAGCCCGGGGTAGTTTATGAAGACTTGGCCAGTACTGGGTACAGGGTCTGCCTAGAACTGCACTACAATGAGAAACATTCTAGGGTCCAGAGACTGAAAGATAACCATGACTAAGTAGGTCAGATGAGGTGGAAGCAGGGATTCTGCATTATAAGGGTGGTGCTAGCCAGCACTTGATGTGCATTGAGCAAGGAACAAATAAAAAGCAACTGTGTAGCTCTGAACCAAAGGGCAGAACAGGGACTCAGTCTAGCCTCCAGCTCAGGGTGGGAAGTCTACAATGAATTAATGAGGACAGGAAACCCTGACCAAATGACAGCCTACAAGTGTGGTGACTGTAGACACTCATAGAGGACTAATAGTGGCTGAGACCAGCAACAGTCTACTGAAACCCTCAACTACACACAAGCTGACAGACCCAAAACCTGGGTCAGAAACTGGCAGAGCTCAGATCAGGAGCAGAGTGAGCAGCCTTTGTCATGGACCACATTACTTTGGGAGCATTAAAAGCTTGCAAGCCCCAATTCATAGCTGTGAAAGCAGCAGAACATAAAAGGACATAAGTACAGCACAGACACACCTCCCCCCAAACCCTGGTCCACACAAAGTTCACAAAGGCCAGCACTAACAAACTAATATCTATCTTCTTGGTCTCTGTTATTGGAAAGAGGATAGAAATTGGATCCATTGTTCAATATTAGTTCTATCACTGGACTAAATGAAGATTGTTTTTGAAAAATCTGAATTTTTATTTCTAATATCAAGGTAATGAAGTAAGCTGAAAGTCAAGAAATAGGCTGGAAAAAGGAGTAAACAAAAAAAAAAAGAAGCTCATCATAAAGAACTAAAATCAGGACAGGGAAGCAAGACACAAACTCAGAAGAAGAGTGTTACAAGAATAGCCTCAAAGAAAAATACAGCTTGGCCATAAGTCCAACTAGAATCCACGGAAAAGTTAAAGCAAGTTGTGGGGGAGGAAAGAGCTAAAAAATTATTTTAAAAACAAAATGTGAGCTATGGAAGGTATAAAAAGAGAATTAACTACTTGGAACAAGAAGTACAAAACTTTACCCAAGAAAATAATTCCCTGAAAATCAGAAGTGACCAAATAGAAGCTAATGACTCAATAAGACATTGAGAAATATTAAAAGAAAGTTCAAAGGCTGAAGAAAAAAGAAAAAGAAAATGTAAGGTTTCTCAGCAAAAACTAACTTACAAATAAGAGAGAGATTTGAGAATCATAAGACTATCTAAAAGTCATGACCAAAAATGAACAACTAAATAACATATCAACATAACATAACAAAAGAAATCTGCCCAGAGTTCTTAGAACCAGAGGGCTTAAGAAATTGAAAGAATCCACTGGCAACCCCTGAAAGAAATCCCAAAATGAAAACTCCCAGGAACACTGTAGTCAAAACACAGAGCCCATAGGTCAAAGAAAAAAATATATGGCAAGGGGTGAGAAAGAATTCAAGTACCAAAGGGCCACACTCAGAATAACACAAGATTTAGCACCCACCATCATAAAGGAGCAGAAAGTCCAGAAGATGATATTCCAGAAAGAAAAAGATCAATGCTTATACAAACAATAACTTACCCAGCAAAAATGAGTATAATTCTACAGGGGAAAAAACAGGCCTTTAATATAACAGAGGACTTCTAAGCATTCTTGATGAAAAGATCATAATTCAGTAGAACAATGGACATACAAATATAGGAGTCAAGAGAAGCATAAAAAGATAAATACTGACAAAGAAAACATAAGGGACTAAACAAGGTTATTATTCACATTCTTCTATAGGGAGATAATACAGGTAGCCCTTCAAAATTCTATCAATATCACAGGTTGTGAAGGGTGGCAAATTTGACAAAGGGCCTCAGAGGGATTCTTTCATGTTTTAATGATCTTGCAGGAAAAATGAAAAAGGAAGGGAAGAGGAATAAAATGAGAGAGGAAAGAAGAGAGGGAAAAATTATCAAATATAAATGGAGTACACAAGTAAAGTATGCAAGGAGGGGGGAGTTTGTGGTGGGGAACATTTACTCTCATTTGAACTGGTTAAAGAGAAAGGGGTTGGGTAAAGGAGAATAAAAAGTAGGTTAGAGTAAGGGAGTGATTAGTCAGCAGCAAAACAAACTCTTAAAGAAGGGAAGGGGGAAAAAAGTAAAAAAGAATAAGATAAAAGGGAATAACACAATTAGCAATCATAAATGTGAATGGGATGAACTTACCCATGAAATGGAAGTAAATAGCAGACTGGATTAGACAATAGAATCCAACATGTTCTTTACAAGAAACACAATTGAAGCAGAAAGATATAGAGTTAAAATAAGAGGCCAGAACAGAGTCTATCAGTCAGTTGATAAACAGTTATTATAAGCTCATACTACGTGTCAGGCATCAAGCTAAGTGGTGGATATACAAAGAAAGACAAAAGACACAAAACACAATCTAATGAGGGAGATAACATGTAAACAACCATGTACAAACATGCTATACACAAGATAAACAAGATATAACCAACAGAAGGAAGACAAGTAGAATTAAGAGGGATTAGGAAAGGCTGTCTGAAGAATATGGGATTTTACATTTAGATGTGACTTTAGAATATGTGATTTTAGATGGGGAGGAAGAGGACTGCAAGCATCAGGGATAGCCAGTGAAAAAATCCAGTCCAGAAATGAAGTATCTTGTTTGAGGAACAGTAAGAAGGGCCACTGTCACTGAATCAAAGAGTATTGGGAGGATGGGGAAAAGTAATAAGTGGTGTCAGGTCTGGGGCTTTCTTGGCAAAGATACTACAGTGATAAGCCATGTCCTTCTCCAGCTCTTTTTACAAAAGAGGAAATTGAGGCAAACAAGATTAAGTGACTTGACCAGAGTCACAGAGTTAGTGAATGTCTGAAGTCTTCCTGACTTCGTGTCTGGTGCTCTGGCCACTGAACCACCTAGCTGCCTTGAAAAAGAATGGCTTCTTTCAAACTCATGTCACTAATGGTAGAAATACTAATGTACAAACAGCTGTTATCACATGCACATTGATTTACCATAGGAGAAAATGTAGAACAATCTTATTTTAGCTACATTCAATGACGATAAAGTGATAAAGAAATACATTGTTAATAAAACTAGTTGAAATGATTTATGAAAAAATTAAGGATATAAAATGGTAACATAAAAAATATTCAAAGAAGGGGCAGCTAGGTGGCACAGTGGATAGAGCACCGGCCCTGGAGTCAGGAGGACCTGAGTTCAAATCTGGCCTAGACACATAACATTGACTAGTTGTGTGACTCTGGGCAAGTCACTTGATCCCAATTGCTTCACACCCCCCCCCCCCAAAATACTCATAGAGGTCTAGCAAAATGTTACACTAGAAAGATCACTTTTTCTCTCACACAACTAGTCACTGGCAGTTTAGGTAACTCACTATTACCATTTAACCATTTGGTGAAAGCCAGGCAAGATGATGAAGACCTAAAGCAAAATGATGGGTGTAATAGTCTCATTACCTCCTGTCCCAGTAAGATGCAAAGAAATACAACAAAACAATCACTGACTTCACAGAAATCTTAACAGACCAATGAAGTCAGTGATTATGTGTATTTTTCTGAAGGCAAACACATATCTGATATTCACAGAATCATTAAGGTTTTTCTTCTTAAGATTCTACAACAAATTTGAGCATTTTCACAATTGCCCAACGTTTGCCTACACGAATATATCATAATTAAAACTTTATTTTATGAAGGACCCAGACAAATATTTCAAAAGAGGCTCACAGACATCTCCCCTTATATATATATGTAGATAAATTACGTCCTTACCTCACATTCTTGTTCTCTGGCTGAGTAAGATTCACTGTCCCCTTCTGTATCTGTTTCAGAATCATCTCCCAAGCTAATCACACATGCGTACGGGCAAGGCTCTTGCTGTGATTCTGGAACAAAATCGCCACTTCCTATTTCCAAATTGTTTGTACATTCTTCAGTGCTAAGAGTATTTATAAATGGACAGCTGACAGAATTCAGTGTCGTGAAAGTTCTCTGACACTGTTCAGGGCTCTCGCTGATTCTGATACCTAGCCAGGGACACTCTGATCTTTTTTGTGAAAACACGCGCTCTGAACAATCTTTTGCTGCCAGGGCAGGTGAGAGCTGAACTTGACAGTCAGTGTCGTCGGCACTGCAAAAGTCGCTCCAGAAACCTTTCGCTAGGTGCTCTGCCACTTCCCTTTCAACGCTGCTTCGACCATTTGCGGACGCAGGCCTCTCATCTCTGTGGCCTGAAGCCGATTTCAAAGGCAGAGTTTGATTTTCTGTGATTGTTTTCTCTGCTTTTGTATCTGTACCAGTCAAAGAGTCTTCAGTTAACATAGTTACATTTTGCATACCTGTGAGATTCAAATCACCATATTGTTCATATGTGTGCAAAAGAGAAAGAGAATAAAACCCAGGCGGCGCCACAGGAGGATCTGGAGGAAGTTGTGTCACCTCTGTTTTTGCCACAGAATCCTGACATGAATTGTTTTTTTCCTTTGCTTCTTCCTCATCATCCATTTCTATTTGACTGTCTTCATGTTTTAAAATCATTGGTAAATCTGTACAACCTTGGGTTTCTACGTCTTCATTTTCAGATACTTCATTTGGCTGAACAGAAACAAATGTTGATGTCTGAATATCTTTAACACTGGGTTCCACAATACGAACTCTATCTATTCCAAAAGCTTTTTGGAATTTCCTGTACTTTGGGCCTAAAGATGGCAAACCAAGAACATCCTCCTTTTCTAAGCACGATTCAGATGTCTGATTGGCACTATCTTGGAGAGAAGGTGGTGTGTTCACATTTTCTTTACACGTATGGAGTTTAAAGTGAGGAGTCTGAGCATGTTCATTTTCTAGCAGTTCTTCTACTTCATTTATTTCTAGATCCCCATGATCCAACAGTGGAATTTTAATGTTGGCTTTCTGACAGTGTGATGTAAAGCACTTCTTTATTGGGTATTCTTGCTGGTCTGTTGTGGAGTTCAAAAATTTAAGTCTGAGGAACTGAAAACAGGATTCTTTAATGTTGTGTATTCCTAAAAATTTAACACATTTGTATACTTCATCCACATTGTCTTTATTTAAAGTAAGCTTAGCTGTATAGGCAAACTGAATCAAAGGATTAAATCCTTTAACTGTCACCTGTCAAAAGAAACAAAAAATAATAATAAATAACATACCATATAAAAGATTCAGTTCAATTAAAAACAAACATTTCAACTATTGCACATAATGTGTTCGCAATAGAGGGATAAAGTCCGAAAATTCAGGTCTTCATCTTCAAGGACTTGTACTCTAGTGAATAAAAACATGTTCACCAATAAGGAAATACAAAGTAATGAGGTAGGAGAAGAGTCAGAATACTAACTAGAGTCATTAATAGAGAGGAGAGGAGATTCAGGAAGGGAGCTGGGTAGGCTGTCCTTAAGTTAAGAGAGAAGAGAAATCCAGGCATAGAAGGAACAATGAACAATGACAAAGAGGAAGAGATGGAAAGGCATAATATGGAGAGAAGAGCAAATAAGCCAATGTATCTAGATTGAAGAATACAAGAAGCAGAGTATTATGAAATCAGGCTGCAAAGAGAGATTAGACCCAGATTGTGAAGGATTTTAATTGGGAGGCAGGAATTTTTATTTAATCCTAGAGACAACAGGAAACCAGGGAAGCACCTTGAATGACGCAGTGACATGGTCAGACTTATCTGCTGAAAGTTTAAAATATGCCAAGCTAATTGTGAGACAGGGCCAACTCTGATTGTTATCACAACAGTAACAGTTCAGTAAAATGAAAACTCCTTGGGAATACTTGTGCATTTTCAAGAGAAGTACATATCCTATTCAACAAGCCCATACCCTTCATTTTTTAGTGTCTCATCTTAATTTTCATGAAAAAAGTTATTTGTATCATTACTATAATCAAAGAGTAGTCACTGCCCTACTTTCAAAGATAGTTTAAGTTACTAGGGGTATATAAAAAGCAAAACAGAATCATTTGTAACCTAGTTAACATTTCTGGTTTCTCTTGCCATGCTTCTAAATAGTTTCTAAAATTGCTAAAAATGAGGTGCATATATCTAAAACAAAACAAAACTTTTGGGGGTAGGTCTCTGCCTAGTTATCCTGTCTTTTAAAAAAAAAATGAGCTTAATAAATTACACACAAAACTCCCATATGAAAAATGAGAAATGAGTACAATAGCAGAAATAAGGCCCAAGAGCAGATTTGTACATAAGGACTTGCTCTCTGAAGGAACATCAACCACATCAGCCAAGTATAAACACTTAGCTGTTCTTAAGGGATGATTAGAGACGCACACCAAAATGACTCATTCAGGCTGATTTCACCTTTAGATACTTCTCCATTAAGCTAGACAGTAAGGGGAAAAGGTGATTTCCTAAACCAGCTTAGGGTCAAAGATTCTAAGTGAGAGAGATGCCTGCCACCAGAACGGGAGAGGCTTTAAATAGAAAAGCAGTACAATGAAGGCTGACTTCAACAGTCAGCAACTTTATCTGGCAGCTAAATTGGGTCTACAATCCTACTTAATTGGAGGGATGGGAAGGAGGGTTCCCAACTGCCAAAAAACAATGACCGACCATCATTTCATGTATTCCATAACAAATAATTTAAGACTAGATAGTTCAGTAATTGACTCTTGGTACTTTTAATGGTAAGAACATTTAAAAATCTAAAATTTCTTGACTTGCAGTACAAAAATTATAACAGTATGTGAACACTTAAAACTGCCCTTCCCAGTTTGAATCCTCAGGAAGAGGTGAAAAGAGGAGGATGGAAGTCTTAAGTTTATTGTATTCTACCAATGTTACAGCAGGGTTTCACATGACATCGTTTATTTAAAACTTCTCCATTAAACTTAATTGTCTGGGGCAATGTGATAGAGAATCCACTCAGGGGTGTGCTGAAGTCAACTGGCTGAGACCCAGTGTTTAATTTTCAGTATGAGCATTTACACCTTAGTAATCAGCAAATGCTACAAATCAGAGCTTGATTTATTGTTTTGCTGATTGTCTAGACTTAAAAAAGTGATGAATAAAAGTTAATGATGCAAAATTAATCTTAAAAATGTATACATTTTTCCTATGAAAGCTGGTTGTTAACATTTACCAGTAAACAATGACTATATTTTAATGATACTTTCAGCCACAATAAGAAAACTATCACCTACACTTGGAATAGGGAGGAAGACATTTCACCAGATCACAACTTGACACTTTAATGATGTTTAGAAGCATTTATAAACTTTAACAATGAATATCATTAAACAATAACAACAACAACAACAACAACAACAAGATTTGCAGACTTATATTTTTAAGGTTCTCTACGCAAATGGTGACACATTTCCAGGTTGACATAAATGAGAAACCTCATCTTCCTTAAAATGAAAGATAAATTAAATAAAGAATAAATTAGAATTAAAGAAAACATGAAATTTATTGATCATCCAGCACCATAGGCTCTATTATGTTTCTAATAAGAAAAAACTACTTTTTTTGGTTAAAATATTATTTACCTAAAAACCTAAATATGGTTTTGCTCTAAGTTGTTTAAAAAATTCATTTCAAAGTAATCAAAATTATAACTTCTAATTTTGTAATGAGACAATGTAGTCATATAAGCTTTTTGGAAGTTATCACTAAGAGATACATATTTATTTATTCATATAATCTTATTGCTTTGATTTTTTTTATAGGCCAGGACATGGATATTTATCTGACAGGAAAAGGGATAATTCAAACTACCTAAGAAAATGCTCCCAATTTCAAATAAATTCTGCATTTTTAGATGTATTTAGATGTGAGGCAGCTAGGTGGCGCAGTAGATAGAGCTCTGCCTTGCAGTCAGGAGGACCTAAGTTCAAATTCGACCTCAGACACTTGACACTTACTAGCTGTGTGACCCTGGGCAAGTCACTTAACCCCAACTGCCTCACCAAAAAAAAAAAAAAAAGAGTAATTAGATGTATTTAAGATGACTCATACGATTCTTTACAACCACTTTCCCAAAACGGAGAGGTAATTATTTAAAAATCTAAATTCAACATATTTAGACTGAAGTTCTACACCAATGCCTCTATCCCAAACCTGGGTTCTTGATGGAGAAAGTTCTAACAGATCTTATCAGAAAATAAAGGCTTCGGGGAGGCTAGATGGTGAAGTGGATAGAGCTCTGGCCTTGGAGTCAGGAGAACCTGAGTTCAAATGTGGCCTCAGACACTTGACATTTACTAGCTGTGTGACCTTAGGCAAGTCACTTAACCCCAATTGCCTTACCAAAAAGAAAAAAAATAAATAAAGGCTTCAAGTATGGGCCTGGTTACATACTATATGTTTCTTGTTTGCAGACTAGTTTAGATGAGCCTGAAAGTCTCATCATCAGGTTTACCTCAAAAATGAAGTTTGGAGTCACAAAATTCTTGACATCTACTAAGTCATAAAAGGTTTGTGATTACAGGCAGATAGTAATTACTCAAAATTCAAATTAGAGCTGGGGTTTCCCATTCTGTGCTAGCTTTTTTTAAAGCAATGTTCCCAAATTATTCAAACTTAATACTTAACTTAGTGTTAAAAATGAGGACAAACTATGAGTTTATTTTTCCATGCTAAAATATTCTACAGAATGAACAAACATTTAAATAAATATATGACAACTATGAAGCTACTTTAATTAGCAATACCAAGCTGCTTTATCTACTCAAATTAACCTGTTGGACCTGAGAAACCAGGGAACCTGAATGAATTTACACGATAAACTTATTAATAAAAGTTAATGCCATTATGATATAGAATTAGTGAAGTTAAGACCAGTTGTCCTCAAAAGCAAAATCTCACAAATAAACGTTTTATTCAAGGAATACTGTGAATGGATAAGCTGATGGATTATTCTAAGACTTACTTTCTACCTTTGTCCCATTTTAAAATTTTTGACAAAATATACTTTTAAAAGCTTGACACAGAAGCTCAAATATGTGCATATATGTATATACATATATATGTATAAAGCTGCTGAAAATCATGTCTGTCTTAAATTAGAGAAGTCTTTTTCATCAGACTAATTAGACCACTAGTAGAGTAACTATTTTACAAAGCTCTTTCCTTCAAACAACCAAGGTACTATCATCTGGAATCTTTAATGCCTTGAAATTAATCCAAGTATAATCTCCAAGTAACAAATGAAGAAACTGACTACAGTGAAATGACTAGCCTAAGAGCTAGTAAATGGTAAAAGAAGACAGGCTCTGAACCCAAGTCTTACCCTCCAAATCCATTACACTGTGAAAAAACTAATACATTTACAATAGGCCAGATCAAATGCAAAATGGCAGATGGGGACAATCCAAATGCAGAGGAAAATGTGATTTTTAAAAAACTTATTTTTTTAACATCTTAAATCTGAAGTTAATCTCCAAAATCCTCGAGATAGGAGCAAGAAAATAAAATTTTAAAACTTTCATTGAACTGTGGCTTATTAGATTTTTTGAAACACTGTAGTGAATTTAAAAAAAAAAATCAACAACCACGAGTCAAGTTTCTTTCTATAGTAGGTCCTGTTTGTCAAGTTGAAAATAAGCCTATTTCTATACAAAGGCTTTACGTAAGGCAAACACCTCTATTACAGGGCTACAGAAATTGCTAGACTCTCTCTTGACCTGGTCATGTGGTTTGCCTTTCTTCTTTCTCCTTTACTTAAAAATCAAAAGAATAGCTTGCAGATATCCATACCAAAGACTGCTCCAAGAAAAATATTTTGGCATTCATGGCTTTGTACTACTTGAATTCTCCATACTCAAGGGAATGTATATTGGCTCCTGACCTACTTAAACAAGCATAAGGTCAAGCCTAAAAAAAAAAAAAACAGAATACTGAACATATACTGTCTTTAGGTCTCTTCTAATCCATTCCTTTCTGTACACAATTCCCTTCTAACTTTTCACCAAATGCCATCCCACTAGCTTTTAATGTTCATCTACCTCATTGCTCCAAAAGGTCTATCCCAGGATGCCCTATGTGCCAGATCTTCCCCTATCTTTCATCAATTAAAAATATCATTAAATCACTTATCCCATTTCTAGGACTCCACTGTTTGTCAATTATCCAGTTAATTTCATAACTGTATGTGTGCTAATGAGTGTTACTTTATTATATTCTCTGATGAACAAGTTTGATACGGATGAATATTCTTCTTAGACCACCCTAAGCCAGAGAGCACCTAACACTCACACAAGACCTGCCTGTCCAAGACAGTGAGAGTAGCTCAGAAACAGACACTTCAGATGAAAAAGATTTTTATTGCTGTGCCTCAAGAACAAAAACACTTCTAGGCAGCCAGGACCCTCAAAAGCTCAGGTGTAGAAAGGCAGGCCAGTTAAGTGGCACAGTGGACAGAGTGCTGAGCCTGGAATCAGGAAAACTCAAGTTTAAGTACAGTGTCAAATATTGACTAGTGCTGTGGCCCTGGACAAGTCACTTAACCTTTGCCTCAGTTTCCTCAACTGTAAAATGGAGATCAATAATATCTATGTCCCAAGGTAGTTGTGAAGATGAAATGAGATATTATTTGTAAAGTGCTGAGCACAGAGCCTGGTATATATCAGGTATATATTCAGTATTTAATACTTGTTCTCTTCCCCTAGAGAGGATTATGATCCATTAAAACTAACACTGGTATAGGGGAAGAGGGCCACAGACCACAGAGAAGCAAAGGGATTATCCAACCAGCGACCAGACTTAGTATGTCTCAGACAAAACTGGGGAATCAGTTACACATGAAACCAGATGATAATGCCTTGAATGTAGTAACATGTATTCAGGTATGCACATTTAAAAAATTGCCGTATATTCCTGTTTTATTTTTTCCTCTCTTGTACATTTATTAGCTTTGTGTTAGCACGATGAATGTATTTGTTAATGTTTAATTTGTTGCTAATTTATTTACTATTTGTTAATATGTTTAGATATGTTAATGTTTGTTAATATATTTTAATTCATTGTTAGCAAATTAATCTATTTTCCCTAGCTTGTAAATGGTATCATATGAAAGCCTAAATTACAGCAAGCTTTGGACTGGCTTCAGGTGGGGGAAGAGTCACTAAAGACCCTGTGAGTTATATTTCTTCCCAGCTTGGGAAGAGAAGAAGCTACTTCTGGATCACAACTGGAGGGCACAGATCATTTTTCCTTCTGCTGTAGCAGGACTTTAAATCTTTTGGAGAAGTGAGAATATCAATTACTAGAATAACTTGCAAGCCGGGCCATACAGGCTTTTCCTAAGACTTGTTAGTACAAAAAAAAAAAAAAAAAAGACAAACACATTCAAAACAGATAATGTAGAGCCTCCTCAAGCCACTGAAAAGCTACGCAATATTTGGGACTATGGACTTTGCCAACCACACTCCAGTGGATTGGGGAATTGTTAGCATCAAAACTAGGGTGAGAATGTAAAGGCGAGGTGACTGATCTACTCAACCCCTTGTCATTTAAAGGGTTAAGATGCCCCTTAAAGTTCAAGCATATGCCTTAGACTTGACACAAGACCTCTGTTCAGATAGGCTAAGGAAACTTGGATGTGCCTCAGGGGTCCATCCATAAATTATCAAATTTAGAAAATATTTATTAAAGTGGTTAGAACAATCATGGAATTCTAGCACACTCTTGTGCTAGAATTCCTACTTGGGGGAGAGAAGAGAAATATCAAGGAGGGCCACTGGCACATTAGGAATGTTTCTCACAAGGGTGGCTGACATTAACCTTTACTTTATATATTTTACAAATTCCGTCTTAGGTCAATAAAGGACTAAAAATAAGTTTGTTGTTACATGCTAGAGAAACATGAATCTCCTACCTCTTTTGGGAGAGTAATGATAAGATCCGGGTCTGACTGGCCAACAATTCTTGAAAGAAAGTAACTGCTGCATGCTGCAAGCACACAACGATGAGCACGAAATTGTTGATCTTCCACTAGGACAGTGACATCACAAAGAAGATCTCTTTTCCTTTGATCATCGAGGCTCAAAAGAATATTGGCACTGTGTACTGAAGATTCATATGCAAAAAACATTCTATTCTCAGTTAGGGACATTCTCTATGACAAATGATGGCGTGCAGTTCAATGGAAAGCATACTTCTCTGGTCTTCATCAAACCTATGAAAGAAATGCACAAGATTACATAAAATACTAAATGGAGAGTGACTGTAAAGACTTAAGGACTAAAGATTTCATATGCATGCAAGATATCACTAAAATGTGTCACAGTATATTCAATGTATATTCAAAGAAAATATATTCAAAATGTATATTCAAAGAAAATTATTACTGTATTTAAGGTTGCCTTTAAAAACCACATTTCTAACTATTCTCAAAATTTTAGAGGAAAAAAAAAATTCACAGGTGAAATTGTTAATCCTAAGCAAAAAACTCTGCTAAGTGCCTGCTTAAATACCCCTCAAATCCTTGACAGACCACTAAAAATTTACAATATAGAAAGAAAATATCTGTTGTTGAGTCATTTCAGTCATGTCTGACTCTTCGTGATTGCATTTGGGGTTTTCTTGGCAAAGATACTGGAGTGGATTGCCATTTCCTTCTCCAGTTCATTTTACAGATGAGGAAACTGAGGCAAATAGGGTTAAGCAACTTGCTCAGGGTTACACAGCTAGTGTCTGAGGCTGGATTTGAACTCGGGTCTTCCTGAGTACAAGTCCAGCTCTCCTTGCACTGTACCATCTAGCTGCTCTGTATCTGTAATTTCAAGATGGCATGAAGAAGGCATCACACAATACAGCCCAGATTTTACCTCAGATATTTGAAAACAATGGAGGGAGAAATAAATACATTACACAAATGGAAAAATCAGATTCTGATTATTCAGTATAACTTACAAAAATAAATGCAATCTACAATGCAATCTAACATTGAGACAAGCACATGCATCAAATGTTTTCTACAATATCTAAAATACAAGAAGAAATATTCAGGGTAATCATGTTATGGTGTCTTTCTATTCTAGAGTTACATAAATCAGAAACTAGTCCTATACAAAGGATACAAACCCTGTCATCACAGGAAATGAGGCCCTAGTTTTCTAAGATAGAAATGCAAACTATAAACTGTATGAAAAGATCCTCTAAGAGAAATGCAAATTAAAACAAATCTAAAGTTCTACATCATACCCATCAGATTGGCAAAGATGACAACAAAATTAAAATGGTAAATATTGGAGAGGTTATTAATAAACACACCCTAATATACTAATGGATAAACTCAACTGCTCCAACAATTTTGGCAAACAACTTAGAATTATATTATTAGAATTATTAAATTGTACATATTTTGACCCAAGGATGCTATTACTGGTAATATTACCCAAAGAAGATCAAAAGCAAAGGGAAAAAGCTAACATACATTAAAAAAATTATAGTATTACTGTTTTTGTGGTAGCCAAGAACTAGGGGAAAAGCATAGGTGCCCACTGATTGGTGAATAGCTAAACAAACTGTGGAATGTAATGGTATACTATTGAGTCATAAGAAGCAAATATGTACAATTAAGGTTAAGTAGTGAGTTAAGTATAAGCAGAACCGGGCAAACAAAACAGAAAAATCAGAATTCTGAGCATGGGTCACAGCCATACTTTTTCCATACAGGACAGAAGCCCTGATTTAAAATAGTCTGGACTTAATCAGCCCATGCAATAGTATGAAAAAAATAAAGGTAATCTCTGATCTCCAAGTTATGCCTTCATAAGCAGGATACACAGACCTACATAACTATGAGCCAGAAGTATGATTTTACCTAATCTTAAAGTGGTGGTGTTAGGGTATCTGGAGTACAATGATGCTTCCCAATACTATTTGTTGGCATTCCATGGTAGTACACATTATTGGCATGGCTATGTTCAAGTGCAATTTTTTGATCAAGAATCAGATAATGTTGTTACTGCCCATTAGTTACCACTGGTCCAAGAAAAGATTCCCCATGCCTGATGCTGGACAGCTGATAAAGTTCACCAGGAAAAAGTTACTATAGATCACACCTGCAGAGTTCAAAGCCTTACTTTCTGGGTAGTCTTGCTTGGTCAATGGCAAACCACTTTTGAATTTCAAGGTTGTTTTTTCCAATGTAACAGAAACTACTTTGGGGAGTCTCTACCAAACATTCTCAAAAATTTTTAGGGGCTAGCAATTGAAATGAGATATATATGTTGAAGGAGGACTCAATGCTTTATTTCTAGAGAGATCATGACATATTTCTGGAACCCGGAATATCTTTTTCTTTTCCTTTTTATTCCTTGGGGGAAGACAGGCAAACAAATGCTATTCATCTGCACCATGTTTTCTACCCAAAACTAGGGTAGAAAACATATCATTATGATTGTATGAGTCTCTTCTCCTTCAGGAATAACAATAAGCACTATTCCATTGGCATCCAGAGAGAGTATGATGATTTCAGATATTTTCTTCTGGGTAAGCAAAGGTCAAGTTGTACCCATCACAGCAACTGTTCTTACACGTTCTACTGTCTGGGGCGGACAATAAGCTGCCATTTATGCTGTGGAGAAATTGCAGTAAGACAGATCAGCAAGTATCCTTGGGCATGAGAACCGTCAGTATGAGAATAAAGAAAAGTGATTTGACAGAGATCTATCTGTCCATGAGAACTGAGCACCACTCTGGAAAACAAATTCCGAGTTGTGGAGTATGATTGTGTTTCCACATCAGATGCATACTTTATTGCATCTCAGCCTCACAGGCTGCATTGAGTGCACAATCATCCGAGAATGAAAAATCACACACCAACTCTCCTTCCACTTCAGTCTTGACTTGTAACCTTTTCAAGTTAAATAATTTACGGACCTCAGTGCTCTTCTCATCCTCGCTGAAGGTATCTGACAACATAGCTGAAAACATCATGCTAAAAAGCATGGAAGCAAGCACACAGCCTTGTTTCACTCCCTTGGTGACTGGGAAAGCATGAGAGCATTGTCCATTATCCAGAACCCATGCAAGCATGCTGACATAAAACAGACATGCAATACCAATGAACTTCTCCAGGCAACCAAATTTTGCCATAATTTTCCACAAGCCCTCACAACTGACAGTATCAAAGGCCTTGATCAGATCAATGAACATTGTATACAGACTTCTGTCCTGCTCCTGGCATTTCTCCTCGAGTTGTTGGGCAGTAAACATCATGTCAACCATTCCTCAGCCCTTTCTGAAGTCACAAAGGCTCTCAGGTAAATAGCCATCTTTAGGTGAAGGACAGCCTATTAAGGGAAGAACGTGGACAAGAATCTTTCCAGCAATGACTGAGACAGAGACAATCCTGTGACTGTCACAGGAAAATATTTCCTATAACTTTACCGAAACGGACAATGGAGGTATCTTTGAACTCCTGGGGGATAACCTTCTCTTGCCACATAACCCAAAAAATTTCAGTAAGCTATGGTATGACCCTCCAAACCTTGTGAGTCTCAGTTGGAATAGAATCAGCACCAGGTGCTTTGCCAGACAAGAGGAGCCTAATGACATTTAAAACTTCTTCTTCAATTGGAAATTCAGCTAGGGAGGTACTGACTTCAACCTGAAGTATACAATCAATGTTTTCAGCGTTGATTGATGAGGGTCTGTTGAGAATACCACAGAAGTGTTCAGTCCATCTCTCTGGGATAATGTCCTTAAACACTAATCAATGTGGCTTCATCAACACTGAGTAGTTCAGATGCACCATCCATGTTTGGCCTATAAATAGCCTTCAGGGCACTATAAAAGCGCTTTTCATAGTTACTATCAGTGTAAAACTGAATTTTATCTGGCTGCTCACAGAGCCAAGAATCCAGTATCTCTCTTAGCTTCACTTGCACTTTACTTTTGATGGAGCTAAATGCTGCCTTCTTAGAGACAGATGAACTACCTTGGCTTGGTTAAATCCTGTGTAGTTCTCATTTTTCCTCTAGCAGCATCTGAATTTCTCCATCATTTTCCTCAAACCAACCTTGATGTTTGCCACTGTTCTGGCAGATGAGTAAATGTAAAGTTGTACACCAAATCACTGAAAGTTGCCCACTCCTTTTCTGCTTCACTGCCACCAATTGTGTGCTGGTAGTCTGTGCCTACTCTTATGTTAAAGTACCCCAGAATAGCAAGCTTCTTTCCTTTGGCACAATGATAACGAGGGTCTCCAGGTCTTCATAAAACTTTTCTTTGACCTCATCAGGGTTCATCACGATGGGAACTATGCAATGGTGATGGTAGCATGGAGCTTTCCTGCAAGCAGTAATCACATTGTCATTAGCCCATCATTCACTCCTTTTGGTAGGCATACAAGCTTGCTGACAAGATTAGTTTTGATTATAAAACCTATGCCAGCCTGATCGTGCTTTCCCTTCACTGCAGCCACTCCAGAAAAATATTTATCCAGCTCCAACTTTGGTAAGCTGGCCTTCACTGCCAGCCTTGTTTTACTCAGGGCTGCTATATGGATGTGATACCTGCCGAATTCTCTTACAAGAAGAGCTGGTCGTCTTTCAGGTTTACTGGATTTTGTCATGTCCATAAGTGTGCATATATTTTACATAGTGATAATGGGTGGAATCATTTTTGCAAAAATTTTTGTACATTTTTCAGAGTTTCAATCGCAGGGTGAAATCCCTGCCTGCTGCAAAAGCAGACCAGGGTTGGGTGAAGCAGACCTCAGGGCACCTTTTCCAGCCCCTTTTCTCATACTAGTAGGTAAGCAGTATGGTCCTTAAAAAATTGCTGCTCAGACACCTAGGGAGCTGCCAAACTCCACTGCTGTTTCAGTACTGTGAGAAGATGACCTGATCGTGCACAGGTTTGTGATTACAGCTCCCAGCGAAATCTACAGCTGCTGCTTCTTCACTTGCCTGCTGCCAAAGGACTATGAAATAGGTAAAAATGGTAAAATGGTATGAGTGATGCCTTTTGATTCACATGTAAATTGGATTTATGTGAGGTAGAATTCCACCAAGTCGCTGGCCTCACTTTCTCTTCCAGAGTCACTGGAGTTTAGTGGCAAGACAAAGTCAAGACTACTAGTGATGGCTCAGGAAACAGGGGATGACCTTGGCATCTTCAATGTCTAACCAAGCTCTAAGTGCTCTGCAATGCCTGCTTCAGCCA